TGTGTGTGTGTGTGTGTGTTTCTTTTCTTCCTTGAAACGTTGAACTTGCGTAGTGTCTGTCTCTTCAAGTGGTTGACTCTAACTTCTATAAGCATCAATACCTTAAGACTCTTTTACCTTTCAGCTAAGGGGAAGCATTAACTCTCATTTTCCAGCTAATGGAAATTTTGTTGCTGTGTGTGTGTGTGTGTGTGTGTCCCTGAAAGGTCTGTCAAAGGTAAGGATCAAAGATGTGTAGGTGTGGAAAAGAGAGAGAGGTTATGGACGAAGGCTTGTGGGCTGGGGTGACGCAGGTGCTAAGGCGCATGCATGGTTGACAGCCCTGAGGTTGCAAGTTCAGGGCCATAACAGAAATTCTCAAGGTGTGGCCCCATTGGATTCCAGTGGATCTGCAACTTCTGCCATATGCTTGGTTACAGGACATGGAAAAAGGGAAGCGTGGGGGAGGAGGAGTAAGGACCTGGCTCCACCAGTCTGAGAGAAATAGCAACTCAAACCTTCCTACTAAATACTATTAATCTGATCTATTTTCTATTGTCAGGATGAAAGGATAGCAAAGTAAGTTGACCTGTTGAGTCAGGCAGTGGTGGAACCTTAGACCTTTTGTTTAAGCAGCATCTATCTTGAAACATCAAGTATCCACCGTTCCATACTACTTTCTTAAATTGGTACGTGTAAATGTGAGGTTGGTACCTCTTGGCAAACTTAAATACTGCCTAAGCCTCAATCAAGAGCAAGACCTGCTATGCCAACTAATTTATAATTAAACTCAACATTTACCTTGCTTGGTATCTGGAGTTAAGTGCTGAAATGGCAAAACGAGAAGCAAAGTCTTAACTTTTTTCTTAAATCAGAAAGAAAAACAACTGCCTTTGAACAGGAAGTGCTTCGTGTCTTTGTGCTCTGAAAGCCTTACTGCCACCCAGCTACTTTGCTTTGTTTTTCTGCAGCCTCACAACAAATAAAGTAGATGAGTAACTTCTGGAGGAGGGGAAGAAGGCTGTATAGCCACTAGTTTCCCAAAAGGCAAGCCTTAAGTAACCTGTAAGTGATGTTATTGTGAAGTAACTTTTAGCGCTCAACTAGAAACAAGTCACTTAGTCCCTGGCTGCCATTTGCCTCTCTGGGTCTTGGCTTGTCCATCTGGGCAAACCTCATTCGGTAGAGGGTTTGAAGTGGTGGTCTTTTGGGGAAATCCCTGGGTAAATGGTTGTCTGTGGAGAGGGCTGGACATGATGGATTCCCAGGCCAGTCCTATGTTCAGAGTTAAAATGCTCTTTTCCTATACTAGATGCAGTCAACATCACTTTCATTAAATGGTGCCCCCTCTGCCCCCCCCCCCAACACTTCATGGTGTGTTTAATGCATAAATAACTTCCAGAGTGAAGTGATGTTTCTATTTCTGATGTCATTGGTGACCTTGGAGGTTTTGTCTATGCCCGTGCTGTTGCAGGGGGATCAGACAGGTAGCTTCCTGCCTGCTCGGTTTTTTTCCAGCAAGAGAGCATTCCTTTCTTGACAGGCTTGGGAGACTCGACTGCACCAGGGGCCTGCAAGGAAGATGGTGGAGAAGGAACCAGGGAAAAGGAGTTTCGGGAACATGCTGTTAGGTCACGTCTTGGAGTAAGGGCAGGTAACAGGAACTACTCTTCCAGAGCTGGAGACAAGCCCCATGTAAGATAGGGGAAATGAAGAAAACAGTATTTTGTCTGATTATTTTTTTTTCTTTCTCTAATATGAAAACTAGTCAATTTTGAAACTTAGTTGTGCTCTTCAAGCTATTATATTGTTTTAACAGGCCAAAGGTAGAAGGTAAAATACAAGGACTCCTGTTTCAGGATGTAGATTCTCAGGTGTAACTTTTGCCTTAAACTCATAGGTAGGCAGAGTGATTTTTTACATCTGTTTATAATAACTATTCAACTGGGGGCTTCTGGTTTGCCTATCGCATGGAAAAGGTACTTTCTTAGGCTGCAAACTTCACAATATATTTCATTTCTGGTTAAAGCTTTTCCCCTTTGGCACCTTCAGCAGCAAGTCTTCCTGGTGTAAGATGATGCTAGCACTATTGAAATTGGCTAGTTCAGAGTTTAGGACTCCAAACATTTTGATTTTCCTTTGGCTGCTAGTTTGGCAGTTTTTAGATTATTTTTCTTGCCCTGTAGGCCTTCAGTATTAGTGTTGTGGTGTTTTTTCTCAGTTGATTTTTAGAGCTGATACTGATATGAAATTCTTTTAATGACTTCATTCTTTTAGGGACATAGCTAACATCATGTCCAACTGCCATTTAACTCCCTGGTAGCTTCTGGCACGAGTCAACTTGTACTTCTCAAGGTGTGAAGCCTTAAGTGTGCTGCCATTGACCTTTTCTTATAGGAGTGTTTGCGGCATAAGTTTGACACGAGCTGTTTGTTTTTTGTTCTCTAAATCGTATTTTGGCACTCTGTTTGAAATGTCAGTATATGCTCCTGCTTCTTAATGATCTCTGTTGTTTTGATTTTTAAATCAACAAGGTGTGTTAAATAAGGTAGTGCTCAGTAGATCAGGTGCCATGAGTAGTGATGTGTATATTCTATCTATGCATGTTGTCAGAGGCTGCAGGCATTTCAATAACGCTTTCCTAAAAAAACAACCTTGTGCTGCTGTTGTGTGAACAGCATCCTTTCCAAAGTTACCTTGAATTTAGTGCAAACTATCAGCACTGAGAGCTCGTGTGAGCTGTGAATTCAGTCTAGTTTGTCTGGAAATGTGGTGTGCAATGTAAATAGCCCTGGAGGGTTGAATTGACTCCTAGCTCACTGACTAAATGTGATCAAGATTTAAATCACTCAGCATCTGTTACCACTTAAAAATGCTTCTTAACTTCCATAGAGTGGCTTGAAATCTACAAAGGGAAAGCACAAGCATTGTGATCCTAATACCAAAGTCCATGCTGCTGTTGTCTGTCTCCCTTTCGTTCCTGCTTTTTTATCTCCTTTCTAGTTCATTTCCTCTGTCAGTCAAGCTTTTACTGCATATCCCATGCCAAATGCTGTTTACTTGCTGGTTCATTTTTTAATCTGATTTTTAGAATACTGAATGAATTAAAAAAAAAAAAAAAAAAAAGCCTTTCAAATAAAGCTATATATTCTCAGGTGTTGCCATAAAAATATGCTTTTGATTTTTTTTTTTTGGATCTTTTATGGAGTCATATGACAGTAAATAGTAAATACGTAATTTAAGCAAAAACTGACTTGGCTTAATGACATGCAGTTCTTTAATGCCTTTACATTCTAATTAACTCTATACTGTTCTGTCCTTGTAAAGAAAGGAGGAAAACAAACCCCATTTGTTGCCAGCTATGTGAGGAGACTTTTCTGAAAGTCAAGTCTGAAAGAGCTTAGTGAAATTTAAGCGGGAGGAGAGGGGGGAGAAATCTCAGCTCTAAAGAGTAGTCTGGCATATGATAAAATACTGGAAAGAAATCCAATTCAGAGAATGGTTACTTAACTCCTTGGTTAAATCTAAGTCAAATAGTTACTTGATAGAGTTTAAACGTGTTGTATAAGTAGTTCACCAGCATGACTATTGCAGTCCATTTCTTTACCACTTAAGGTCTTGGATGTGCCCTGTTGTTTTGGAAACTGGCATTCTGAACAGTTATTTTGTACATTACAAAAACATTGCTTGCTTTCCGATTATAGCTGAATCCTGGAACTGAATGGAAACTTCATTGCAGCTTGGTACACTAAATTAATGAACCTTTTTGTTTCCTGACATGAAACAAAAATGCGTGTGATTTCTAACCATTCTCAGGTTAATCGAACGTACTGCTGTGGAACCTACAGAGCAGGTCCAATGCGGCAGATCAGTCTTGTTGGAGCAGTAGATGAAGAAGTTGGTGATTATTTCCCAGAATTTCTTGATATGTTAGAAGAATCTCCATTTCTGAGGGTGAGTATTACACTTGCAGTAATTGTTTATAGTGCTTATTCTTGAGCATAATGTTATCAAAAGTTTTAAAAACTTGCTTCATTGCATAATGTGAAAAGTTTGGGCAAAGCTGCTCTACTTCTGGCAGTGGATTTTTGGAATGCCGTACAAGGACAACAGCAACTCTGTCTTATTTTATGTTCAAAGAACTAGATGATGAAAGAGTAATGAATTTTAGAAGCTATGGTAATTTCCCACCCCCCCATTTCTTGCTACTAAACTATGGACTCTTGTGCAGTGTGTTTCCTGGTGCTTTGCTTTGGCTATCAAAATCAACCAGCACTGCAGGCCAGATGAGAGAGACAGGGTTGGTCTGTGGGCTCAATTGGGTTTACAGACTGACCCCATGTGACAGCACCAGCGTGCAGGGCTGGGCTGATCTGGGTGCTGCATGTGTGCAGCGTATGCCCTGGACCAGGCCTGTGTACTGGATTCAGCATGCAGGGCTGGTCTGTAGGCCAGATCTACACCAGCCATGCATGCTGCAGGCAGCACCCAGGGCTGGTCTGAGACCCACAAACAGCATCACGGGTCAGATGACGGGCTCTGGTGGCTGGATCTAGCCCGCAGGCCATATCTGTGACACCCCTGATCTAAAGCTAGCTCTAAGCCCAGGTTGAAACGCAGCATTTTGACTCTCAGTGTTTGTGTTGATTTCGATATCACTCCTCCAGCAATTAAACTGATCCAGTGTTTACTGAAAGATGGAATATCAACTGAATCCTGCCTGTGTCAGTCTACAATCTTTTGTGTTCTGGTTTTAGATGACACTGCCCTGGGGCACTCTTTCTAGCCTCAGGCTTGAGTGCAGATCACAAAGCGATGATGGCCCCATAATGTGGGTGAGACCAGGAGAACAGATGATCCCGACAGCAGACATGCCAAAATCACCATTTAAACGACGCCGGTAATGCTGTCTTCCCTTTCTGTTAAATAAAAATATCATAGCTAAGGCACTTCATGTCTGTCTTGAGATTAATTGTTGTGACCTTGTTCCTGTAACTCATTCTTCAGAGGTTAAATAGTTTGTTTAAACTTCTTATCTTGTTTTTCAGAGCTAGCCTAGTTCCTTGCTGAATCGTGTTGCTTGTGCGTTATAGATTCTGTCCCATTGTTTTCTGTATCTTTACATCCTAGTTAAAGTCTTTTGACACAGGAGATTCAAGGTGTCTGTCAAACTTTCTCT